AACAACAAGCGCAAGAGGAAGCAAATGAATGGTTACAGAGCTGGTTTCATGTCCCCTACCTCGCCTTTTTCTTCCCAGCAACCTTCGGGTATTTTGTTTCTCACTTCTCCTATATATATCATGTCATTGTTGTTCATGAAAGATGCAATTTTGTCATTGTTTGACTATAGGAAAAAAATATGAATCATCTTTTGGAGTTGTCATTTTAATTGTACTAGCTGATTGTGTAAGATTGTTGCCTGAAAAATTTTACAGTATGCAGCTCTTCCGAATAGCTAGCTACACGGCCACTGATACCAATCTTCCCGCTTCCTTCAGGTGAATCTGCAAATGTAGGATCGTCAGTTGATCCTTCTGTCCACACCAAGTATAGCGCCGGGAGCCCCAGGCTGAAACAATGCTTGTCCGATATCAGCATGGGCAACTCCAGGTTCTTCTCATATGACGAGCTGTATCAGATCACTGATGGTTTCTCAGCTCAGAGGCTGCTAGGGGAAGGAGGCTTTGGGTCGGTGTACAAGGGCTGCCTGCTAGATGGTAAAGATGTCGCAATTAAACGACTAAAGGATGGTGGTGGACAAGGGGAACGCGAGTTCCAGGCTGAAGTCGAGATAATTAGCCGTGTGCATCACCGTCATTTGGTTTCCCTTGTGGGATACTGCATTTTCAATGACCACAGGTTACTTGTATATGACTTTGTTCCTAATAACACGCTGCATTATCATCTTCACGGTATGTTAGAGCCTCTTTCTAATCTTTTACAAGAGCATTCCCATCTTCTGCCAGTAAAAAACTGAATTGAACTGCAATCGCAGGACACAGAATGCCTGTGTTAGAGTGGTCCATGCGAGTTAAAATTGCTGCAGGCGCTGCCCGTGGAATTGCTTATCTACACGAAGATTGTAATGTTCCTTCCTACTTCTCGTTTTCTTTGCAATGTTCATTTCCATCTATTTTTGTGTGTTAATTGTTAAACACTTTCCTTTTTATCCATTTGCAGGCCATCTGAGGATAATTCATCGAGACATCAAGTCCTCAAACATTTTGTTGGATAACAATTTTGAGGCAAAGGTAACTACATTCACTAAATGAGCCTAAGTGTTTCTCTCAATTTACCTACCAATTTGTATTGGTTTTCTGATTGGATGCCATCTACGAATTGTAGGTTGCTGATTTTGGTCTTGCGAGGTTGGCTTTGGATGCTGTAACCCATGTAACAACCCGTGTTATGGGAACATTTGGGTGGGTCAACTGCTGTCATATCTCAGAAAGTTCATCAATATATGACATAATCATACAGGGTTCATGGCTGTTTCTTTTTCTTTTCCAGGTACATGGCTCCAGAGTATGCCTCAAGTGGCAAACTGACTGACAGATCAGATGTATTCTCTTTTGGTGTAGTTTTGTTAGAGCTTATTACTGGTCGAAAACCTGTTGATGCATCGAGACCACTGGGTGACGAGAGCCTTGTCGAGTGGGTGAGTTTTAGCAATGAACGTATATTGCTTAAAGCCTGGTGATGTTCCTAGAGCACATTTTGTTGACTATGATTTTTGGGAGTTCTATTCTTGGGTAGCATAAGCTTTGTTCCCAGCCAGTGTATATTCAGTTTTGATTGCAGTAGACTCATATATACATGGACAATGTAACCGCAGGCATGTATCTTGACGATAGAGAATTGCTCGTGATGCCTGTAACGGCATAGTAGCTAGACCTTGTCTATGTTGAAGAATTACTGCACCATGAATATGTTGCATGCCTGAGAACTGTTGGTTGACTTCCTTTTCCCAATTATTTGCAGGCTAGGCCATTGCTTTCTCGAGCCCTGGATACTGGCGATTTGGGAGGGTTGGTCGACCCCAGGCTTGAGATGAATTTGAATGAGGTGGAGATGTTCCGCATGATCGAGGCTGCTGCAGCCTGCATTCGGCACTCGGCATCAAGGAGGCCCAGAATGAGCCAGGTACTTAAAAGCAAAAGCAAGCAATCTTGTGGTTTTGGCGTTGGTCCCTAGTTCATCGTCCATTCATGAAGCCGAATTGAAGATGACATTTGCGTTGTTTCAAACTCAAATTCAGGTGGTGCGGGTTCTTGAGAGCTCAGCGGACATTGACCTAACAAATGGCGTTCAGCCTGGGCAAAGCCAGCTCTTCAACGTGGCCAACACGGCGGAGATAAGGATGTTCCGGCGGATGGTGGCCGGCGCGCAAGATGACGACAGCTCCGACTTGACACAATACGATTGGAGCAGAGGTAGTGACGCCGCCCCGAGTTCCAGGATCTTGTAACGATGGCCTTGTTGCTTTCTGACTCTGCCTGTAGAGACTTGTGTTGGTTAATCGATTAGGGAATTCAGTTCAGGTGGCTGTATCGAGCGAAAGTTGGTTCCCTGACCGGCCGGCCTTATTCTTTAGGAGAAATCAAAGTGATGTGTTGTGTGTAGAGAAGATTTCACTGGTGACGTAGTGTTTGGTCTTTTTTTTTTCTTTCTCTGTATGAAGGAAGAAGAGGTTGGCAGTTCATGCAGATTTTTTAGACAGTCAAGGTCAAGGACATGGAAATTGAAGCATTGTTGAATGAGACACGTGACAGGCAGGCATCTTTCAACCTGTCTGTTTCTGTAGCCAAAGACACGGAAATGAATTGTTCAACCTCCTGACATTTTGGTCTCTTTCTCGAGTCAGTCTGAACCAACAATTCTTCCGTTCCGTTGATGGCGCCGCGGTTGCCGTCCCAACTCGCCTAACTAATGAAAAGGATGACGATTAGATTATGGTCGGTGAAATGAATGTTCTTCTTTCTTTCCTGGTCTTCTCCTTCTAGATACTAGAATAGCAGCAGGGCAAAACTGACAGGGATAGGTCCGGAAACACGGAAAATGCCCTTTGAATTCAGGCCCCACACCCCCCAAAGAGCAGACATCAGTTTTGACCGTGTGCATCAGGAAAGGACGACGAAATGTTTAGTTCTTCTTCATCATCATGATGACAGGTCAATTTAGGAAGCGCAACCGGCTTTCCTTTCCACCGTGTCCATTCGTTTCAGTTGCCTCGTGATTCATGTGATCTGTTCCACTTCATTATCGGCCAAGATTCATGTTGGTACATTTCAGCTGCCTCGTGATTTATGTAAAGTTGGGTTCATACCGTTGCGATGCACAAAATAACTGAGCCTCAAAAACTAACTTATTTGGATCCTTGGAATCTATGAAAAAGATGACTTGGAATATCTAAAAGAAATGACAAATTTTGGTCACAGACATAGTAGAAATCTGGTATTTGCAAATACACACCGCTAACCAGAAATTTTGTCGGGTACCATTACAAAAAATGTGTATCTTTGCCACAAAACACCATACCGATTATTTTATTAATTTCTTATATATGTGGAGATAGGTGGTGGAAGAAATGACCCTTTTGCCCTTGTATTCTTATAATCTTTGTTATCTCCTATATTCTTGCACCGAGTTACTGTAGCTATGAAGTTTAGTACTTATCGTGAGTTCTGAGTTCGCAAAACAGCTTAAATAGTCAGGCCAAAGACGCATAGTAACTTTCGGTTAACCGTTTTACGTGAAGCGATGACGAAAGTGTAAACGAGTTGCTATGGAGGTGGGGCTCCCCCCTTGGTAGAGTGGGCCTGTGCCGTGTGCCGGGCCTGGGGTGTTACAACACATTAATTATTCACGAATGGGTTACCCAAAGAGAAAAAAAGAGAGAAGAGGCTTTATTTCCTACCCTTTTTTTGAGGTAGATAGGATTATTAAGAACAAACTAAAGGAAAAAACATCATCCCCAAATTCATTAACGAGCTAGGGGAAAACTAAAGAATGAAGCTAACTTTATCCCTCCCTCCATCCTTTCCTTCCAAATGTACACCATTTCTAGCTACTTTCTTGTTTAAAAAATCTGGCCCTCCGTCATCTACACTGCTACAAGGTACTCCTTCAACTACGTACCTGCCTCTGCCTGCATGCTTTTCCTTCTTCTCCTGTATTGTATTTACATCTATATGCATGTATGTATGTATAACAATGATCGATGTGCTCTATGTAAACTCTAATGCATGATTTTCCTCATCGATCTGTTGTGACGACGACGACACCTGGGGTGGGTGACTGTGAATAATCCACATGCTGCGTCGTGCTGTTGAGGCGACGATGCACCGCCGTGGCGTCACGGCGAGCCGACACACCAACGCCGGTGGAGCGCACGGAGAACTGGCGCAGGACCTGACTGAGCTCCACGTCGGCGCTGGTCTCCGGGTCATGGTGGGCCTTTGCCTTCTCCCTGTGGCGCAGCCACTGGATCCTGTTGTGGTAGTCCGGGAAGAACCACGACTTGACGACGGCGTAGGTGAAGTAGGGGACGAGGGCGGCGGTGGTCACCAGCAGGGTGACCACCCAGTAGGACGGCGCGCCCGCCAGCGCTGAGTTCGCCGAAACAGCTTAAATAGTCAGGCCAAAGACGCATAGTAACTTTCGGTTAACCGTTTTACGTGAAGCGATGACGAAAGTGTAAACGAGTTGCTATGGAGGTGGGGCTCCCCCCTTGGTAGAGTGGGCCTGTGCCGTGTGCCGGGCCTGGGGTGTTACAACACATTAATTATTCACGAATGGGTTACCCAAAGAGAAAAAAAGAGAGAAGAGGCTTTATTTCCTACCCTTTTTTTGAGGTAGATAGGATTATTAAGAACAAACTAAAGGAAAAAACATCATCCCCAAATTCATTAACGAGCTAGGGGAAAACTAAAGAATGAAGCTAACTTTATCCCTCCCTCCATCCTTTCCTTCCAAATGTACACCATTTCTAGCTACTTTCTTGTTTAAAAAATCTGGCCCTCCGTCATCTACACTGCTACAAGGTACTCCTTCAACTACGTACCTGCCTCTGCCTGCATGCTTTTCCTTCTTCTCCTGTATTGTATTTACATCTATATGCATGTATGTATGTATAACAATGATCGATGTGCTCTATGTAAACTCTAATGCATGATTTTCCTCATCGATCTGTTGTGACGACGACGACACCTGGGGTGGGTGACTGTGAATAATCCACATGCTGCGTCGTGCTGTTGAGGCGACGATGCACCGCCGTGGCGTCACGGCGAGCCGACACACCAACGCCGGTGGAGCGCACGGAGAACTGGCGCAGGACCTGACTGAGCTCCACGTCGGCGCTGGTCTCCGGGTCATGGTGGGCCTTTGCCTTCTCCCTGTGGCGCAGCCACTGGATCCTGTTGTGGTAGTCCGGGAAGAACCACGACTTGACGACGGCGTAGGTGAAGTAGGGGACGAGGGCGGCGGCGGTCACCAGCAGGGTGACCACCCAGTAGGACGGCGCGCCCGCCAGCGCCTCCACGAACACCATGTAGTAGGTGGTCGAGAAGCTGGGCCTGATGGCGCCGTACACGGGGAGGAAGATGTACCAGAGGGCGATGCTGAGCCAGATGCACACGTGCTGCACCAGGGTGAAGTAGCTCACCGTGATGTACATCTGGAGGTTGACGGCCCAGACGATGCACGTGTAGGCGGTGGCGCCCAGCGTCGCCATGTCGGACACCTCCCCGCCGCTGCGGAACGCCTGGTGCTGCAGCGACGCCGTGCTGAGGAAGAAGATGATCACAGCGCTGGCCACGCCGTTCAACATCCATCCAATGATCCTTCGCCACTGGAACAGAAGGTTTTGAGGGCCCTCCTGGTACAGCATCGGGAACTGCATTGCATTGCACCGCCATATCAAGTCAATGATTATCGGGCATATCCATCGCATATCTGAGTGTTTGGAACATGCATATACAGTACCTTGAGACAGAATCGAGCAGAAACGTCTTGGTCGAAGACGCCCATGGCGATCACAGGCAGCGACGTGAAGAAGACGTTGAAGCACGCCATTGCCCAGTCATTGTAGAAAGGCTGGCCTGAAAACGATGTGTACGCATCGTACAGGAACAAGGTCACACCAAACGTGATGTTCTTGTAGAAGAAGTAGCAAATCTGTCCGCCAAACATATCATAAGACGTTCGTCATCTTCTTCCTCATTGTACAAGGATCACATATATATGATGATGACTGAGCATTCTATATATTATTCCATTTAAAGCTAAACATGACATGCGTCTGTGTTAGTGTTACAGCTAGTACCATTGATGAGATCCTGCTATAGCACCAATGCCCATGGACAAGTAGCAGACGCTCCAGGAAGCGGAATTGGGCGATGGAAACATCGCTTGCCATGACAGCCTGCGGAGCAATACCGATCGGAGCTGATTAGATTACAACACAATGCAAAGCTGGTTCCTTTCGGATACAAGACAAGATGCATGAAACTGTTTGGTGAGTGTGAGTACTGAGTAGCAAGCATGCAGCAACAAACCTGCATTCCTTCAGCACCGCTGATCCCAACACCAATATCTGCCTCTTGAATCATGCCCACATCGTTCGCGCCATCACCAATTGCCAATGTGACCTTACCCGTTCCGGTTTTGACAAGCCCAGTCACCTGCATCATAATCATATCACCAGTTCATTAGAAATAATGGAAAGAGAGAGAGAGAGAGAGAGAGTAATTAAAAGATAGATTCATTTGAGATGCTGGTTAATTAGTTGAGCTTACAAGAGCTTTCTGCTTGGGTGAAGAACGGCAGCAAATGACTGATCCACAACCAACTGCAAGATCGAGGAACATGTCCTTTGTGTCGTCCTCCAGTGCATATGTAAGAGACTTCCCATCAATGATCAAGGCGAAGGATTCACCAGAAGATGCATTTACAAGCTTCTTTCCCTCGTTTATTTGACGTGCCACGCTATCTTTTGATGCCTGCAATTAATATAGCATGAGGTCAACAGAGCTATATATATTAATTTTTAGAAGAAACAGAGCTATATATTATTCTCCCTACCTTGGTTAAGGCAGTCTTGTCACTGCCTTTCTCCAACGCAATGATATCTGCTGTCTCCAGAGTGATTGTTATTTGCTTCATCCCTTGCCTTAATAGACTACAGGCGTATCTGAAGGGAAAAACAAGTGTTATATGTTAAGTCCCTGCACTAAACTTGCCAAGTAGGATAGGAGAATTTCCATTCCATCAGTACCAAAACTGTCAGAACTCAGAAGCTAAGAGATGGCGTGATGCCTACCCAATGTTGATGGCAGTCTCCATCTTGTCACCTGTTAGCACCCATATCTTGATGCCAGCTTGAGCAAGTTTGTCAATGCACTCAGGCACCTAGAAAAGAAAACGGAGGATATGAGCAAACTGAAGAGACTTGTTATTAGATAGATTGCCACAGATTACCAAATGGAAGAAGATTCACTCACCCCCTTTTGTAGTTTGTCCTCAACAGCAGTAGCACCAAGAAGGATAAGATCCCTCTCCACCAAATCTGCAGCCTCATCGATCTTTTCATCTCTGTCAGTGCTGACAGAATTCTTAGCTGCTGTGAACTTCCTGTCGAAATATGCATATTCATCCTCCTTAAGCTCACGGTACGCGAGAACTAGTGTTCGCAAACCAGCATCAGCGTATTCATTTATGTGCTGTTGGGTCACTTCTCTGTATGCACTCTCCGAACCTGATAGCCTTTCAAACATTACACTGCACATATATATCGAGATGAATTAAGTCAAGAGAAAGGCATTAAACAGAGAGAGAATAATTTTAACACATCCCAGCAGATTAGAGATTACTGAGGATACATACCTGTCAGCTCCTTTAGTAAACAGAAATATTTTCCCCTCCTCATTCTTAACTACTACTGACATCCGCTTCCGCGTGCTGTTGAACTCAAGGACATTCAAGATCTTGTATGACCTGCCCAAAGAAAAGAGATCGATAGTAAAAAAGTAGTTTTTTTACTACAATGCTGTCAGTGTGAGGTGACTCATGATTATTTTTGGTTAATACTACTGCAAACAAGGAAATAAACTTTTCCAGGAAAGAAAACTGAAGCTCATAGGAGTACCTGTCGACTTGTTTCCCAGACGAGGGATCTAACTCACGCAGAGAAACGCCTGTTTGAGTGCGTTTGTAGAACGTGAAACCGAGTTCCCTTGCTGCAACAACAAAGGCCGCCTCATCAGGAGACTCTGCTTCGTATGAGATTTTGCCCGACTCTTGATCGACTTCAGGTATGCACGTGTGACAGACTGCCAGCAGCCGGAAGAACATCTCGATGACATCAGAGCGGGGTTGGTTAACCCAGTTGCCGCCCATGACACGCTCATCCACGAAATTGAATCCCTTGACTGCAGGTTTATTATTATTACCCTCGGAGTCAGACGACGACAGGAAATGCTGCTGCTGCTGAATGCCACTATTATTGCCCTTGTCCATATTGTCAGGGTTGGCGATCACCGGGGCGCCTTTCCTCCTCGCCATTGCTCTCTCGACCTCTGTGATACCACGGCCATACGCGGTTCCAGCGATAGAGCATTTGATGAACTCCATGGAGTTGCAGGTGAGAGTCCCGGTTTTGTCTGTGAGGATGGTGTCCACCTGACCCAGCTCCTCGTTGAGGTTGGACGTCCTCGCGTGGGCTGGCGTGTCTGTCTCGCGATGGTACATGTGGATGTCACTGTTGATGAAGAGTGCCTGCAGCAGCTTGACGATCTCGATGGAGATGTACAAGGAGATGGGGATGAAGTAGCCGTAGAGCATAATGGCCGTGAAGAAGTGGAGCAGCGCTGCCACCGCTGGCCTGTTTGGATCGTAGTAGATCTCAGTGTCGTCAGGCCTGAGGTACCACCTCTTCATCCTGCCGTCTTGCAGGTCGTCTCCGGTGGCAATGCCGAAGAAGACAGAGCTGACGACGGAGATGACGATGAGCGAGAAGAGGAGGAGGTACATGACCCGGTCCATCTTCTTCTCCACGTTGCTCCGCTTGGAGGGGACCTTCATGGAGTTCTGCATCACCTTGGTGTCGTGGCCCGTGAAGACGACGACGCCGTACACGAAGTCGGTGTTGCGGAGCTTGGAGTCTCTGAGCAGAAGCTGCTGCGGCGACAGAGGGTGCTGCTGGCCGTCGATCTCGATGTTCCCGACGAAGGTGTAGAGGTGCGCGTTGGGGTCCTCGCACCTCACGACGGCGCCTGCAAAGCTGCGGAAGCTGTCGTCATCCGGGAGTGTGGTGGAGGTGACCTCCAGAGACTGCTTGAGCTTGAGGTTCGTCTCGCCGTCGAGGTTCATGGTCTCGACGTAGCAGATGGCGTCCTCGTAGCTGGAGGAGAGGAGGACCAGGTCAGCCGGGAAGAATTCGTCCTTGTGAACCTTGACGATGTCGCCCACGCGGATGTCCTTCCATTTGGCATCCCGGAAGCTCCAGGCAGCATCCCCATCCCCATCCCCATCCCCACCCTGCTGGAAGACCTGAGTTGTCCTGTTGTTCACCTCCGTGTCCTGGGATGGATTATTAATCATTCAATATGAGATATCGTGTTTATTATTGGAGTATTATGTAATTAATTAATAATCAATTAATTTGACAGAAGAAGCGACTAAGCAATTATTAAGCCTGAGTGAATAGCAAATAACAGGTAGAAATAGAAAGAATAGAAATGAAAAAAACTAGTAACCGGCCGGGAGCCCGGGACCCGACCTGCTGGTTCCTCCTCCAGTCCTCGATTGCCTCCTTGATCATGGTGGCGACGAGGACGATGACGAGCGGCACGATGGCGCTGGAGGAGCTGTAGGCGGCGAGGGGGCTGTAGGCGATGCCGGCGGAGAGGAGGAAGTAGATGTTGGCAACGCGGCGGAACTGCTCGAAGAGGAACTTGGGCAGGAAGGTGAAGAGGTTGTACTTGGTGGTGGAGATGGAGTTGGTGGTGGCGGTGATCTGCTGCTGATGCTGCAGCAGGTCAGCTGCTGCTGGAGGCTCACCGGCGGCGGCGTTGACCATGACCACCCTGGAGAAGCCTGGGCCTCCTATCCTGGACACGGAGTGGTCGTCGGCCACGCTGGGCCGTCGGCCGCACGCGTAGCTGTAGAGCTTGCTGAGGCGCACGGCGGACCTCCGGGTCCGGCGGCGCCGGCGCCCGTTGGTGGTGTTGCCATCATCTTCGCCGGCCATTGTATTGTACTGTACTGTATTATTGGGAACTCACACTTGTTGTTACAGTACAATACAAATGAAGAAGCTGCTGCCGCTGCCGCTGCCGCCGCCGCCTTGAATGAAATCAAAACTAAAGGAGCTCCCTTTATTTCCCTCTCTCCCTCCTTAGCTGCTAAGATAAGCTGAGGAGGAGGAATTGGGAGGGCGGCTGAGATAAGCTGAGCTCACAAACCCAGATGGAAAGGAAAGGGAAGAAAGGAACAAGCTAGCAAATAAAAAGGGGAGTTGTGGTCGGAATCGGACCACTTCCCTTCAATTTATGCTTGCTAGCTAGGAGATTAGCAGGAGGAGTTAAAAACTTTCTTGTTGCCTTGGAAAGCTCCGCGTTTCTTGTTGCCTTGGAAAGCTCCGCGCACAAGCCAAGAAGAAGGAATGGCCGCGTTTGCCTTGCCAGCCAGCGGAGACTGAATCAAATCAAGGATGCATGAAGACGAGGGAGGCAGAGGCAGAGGCAGAGGCAGAGGCAGAGGCAGAGTCACTCCCTGTCCGTCTCGTCTAGCCTCTTCTTCTCTCTTCTTCAGGCCGGCCAAGGCCTGCAGCTCCCTCCAGGCCTTATTTCTTTCTTGGTAGGGGAGGGGATGCAGGATTTGGACAAGTCGTTGCTGGTGGTTTGGTCTCACTCGTCTAGGCCCGCCCCGCCCGGTCAATTGCTCATACAAAAACCAAACTACCCAATGGCAGGGAAGGGACCCTTTGCATCAGCTCATGCTCATGGGTTTGGACGGATGTGAATCTGGAGTTCTTCCTTCCTTCCATTGTTTTTATTTATTTCCCCTTGCGAGCGAGCGTTAGCTCGAGTGGTTCCGTCCCTGCGGTGGGTAGGCCCTTGTCGGGAGCTCGAATCCCGCCTGCCGCGGGCACAGCCGCAGTTTGTCCAGGAAAAAAACCCCTCGTGCTATCTGCCCATCGTAGGCAGAGTTTATTTAATTATTTATTTCTCTTCCTCTCCTCAGTCATGGTTGACCTGCCTCCCCCCTACCCACCTGCCCCGCCCCGCCCCGCCCGCCAAGAATTCCTCCTAGTCTTCGCGCTGCCTGCCTGTTTGATGCGATGCGACGGCTCTGCGCTCTTCCTCTCCCTCTCTCATCTCCCTTTCAAATCTGGCAATCTTCTAGAACATACCGGCCACACAAATAAGTTGGTTAATCTCAACTTGATTGAAATCCCATCATTTATTTTTTTTAAGAAAAAATGCTGGAGGCAGATTGTTTATCCCAGTCGGGGGTCGGATAATTCGACCTTACCTATATCTCCGTCTCTGGACTATTATACGGGATTGATTTTCATCCACCATGTTCCTAATAACAAACTACAAAATTGCAAATTTAGATCTTTATTTATATGAATAATAATCTGTCTAGCATCAACACCATAGCCATATAGTTTGACGCAACAGTCTACTATGAAATCCGATAGGTGGGTCCACGTGATAGCAATCCCTAGACTATTACACGTTTCTTATCAAGTCCACCAAACTATTAAGATTTCGCTGCTCAATTGAACTTATCAGCCACGGTGGCAGCAGTTTACACTAGAAAAAAGTTGTTCCCTTCCCCCATACATAGCCATCTCTCCCTCCTTAGCTAATAACTGGAAATGGATCGGAGAGAGCTTCAAGCATGGCCATCTCTCGCTACAAAACAAATAAAATTCAAATTCCTTGTATGCATACATACGCGTCGTCGTGTCCCTTAATTGCTTGGTCACCCTCTCGCTTCATTCTTCTCTTCTACTTCTGGAGTCAAATTCAGTTACGTGTTAGGCCCTGTTCGTTCATCTTATAACCTATACTTTTCGTCTTGTTTTTTCAGCCGAAACAATATTTTTTAGTGTTTCAGTTTATTTTTTCAGCGAAGCGAACGAGTCTTTAGTTGGAGATTACTGGAATAAGTCACTCTTTGTTTCCGTCCGTCCGTCCGTCCATGGTCAATTCGTCATCCATGGCAGAGTAGTACGCATGTCTTGACCTCTACTCCACAGGAAATCCCCATCCGTTTTCCTAATTATTTCACAACACATGGCAAGGCAAATTAATTCTAACACACATCTCTCTTCAATTCAATCTTGGAGGTGTATGTACCGTACGTCGTGTGTATGCTTCTGGAGAAGAGAAAATGAAATGCAAAGAAAGTCCGCCGCGCCAACACACCTATAGACTTGGTTCGCCACACCCACACGTTATATATGTACGTCCGAATATCCTGCGTAGAAATGTATACCTCACAATTCATTATTGACTAAATATACTACTCATCAACACGTACGCAGCAAACACACTACTTTTATTCACACGATATAAAATAAATAAACACACGTGTGATATAAAATAAATAAACACACGAGTCAAAGCGCTCTCTCTTAATTTTTTTTATATATATTAGTATATATCAAAATGAGAAGAGGGGCTTTTACTACAACTTATTACTTCATCGGAACAATAAAATACATATAATATAATGCACAGACTTTGTATATTCTACTTAAATCAAATTGAATTAGAGCTGCCTAGCACAACTGCTATTTTTTGGCTTCAGATTTCTTTTAATACGTATTACTCATGACTAAATAATTTTCGATTTCCTTTGTTAAATTCGCAGCTTCTACAGGGTCACGTGTAAATACCCTTTTGAGCTCCTTTCCCTTTCCCTTTCCCTTTCACAGCTGTTCATTCATTCAGGATTCAGCAGCTGAATAGTAGTGATACACACACTTAAGTTTGTCTTTCTAGCATTGCACATGCGCTGCACAAAATCGAAAGGAGGAGTCGATAGCCTGCTTTCCCATCCACCCATCGTCTGAATTTTCTCTGTTTCTAGATTCAAATAGATGAACCAGCACTTTTGCTAGATGCCCTCATTTTTCATGCCCTACTAATACAACAAGTCTGTTTCCAGATTATGTTGTTGTAGGAATTTCATGCCAAGCACCTCAATTCAATTTCCACATACACACCTAGTGTTAAATTACGAGCAAGTGTTCATTCTTTTCTAACTATAAGGATAACCCAACTTTTAGAGAAGCATATAAAGAGTTGAGTTGATTAAGTATTCCTTTCACTATATCTATACTATCAGACCAAATAATGCTAAAAAGCTGTGCTTCATGTGATTCCTAGTTAGCCGAGGTGTTAAAAATCATTAAGAATTCCAACAAAAACTAAGGTCAAACAGGGATGCAATCAATACTAGCTAGCTAGCTAGCTAGCAAATACAGACAGAATCACCATTCTATTATATTATATTATATCAACGCTGCCAATAATCCAGTTATATCTATTATATAAATACCAGTAGAGGATCCAGTGATGCATGGCTGCTGGCATATCAGATATATGTATTAGATGAGCTAGCAGTACGGTCACATGGAGCCGGTGGTTGAATAGCAGCAACTGCTTCGCCCTGCCCTGCCCCTGCATAAGCGCTGACGAAATAACATGCCTAGCTATCTGCATCGTTTTCTACAACCAATTCAGATTTCAGATTTTTATATTACTGGTCCATGCTTGGGTAGTGGTGCCTACTAGTTCCTTCTTCTAGTTCTTGATCCGACTTTAAAAGATCATCAGCGATCTTCTCGAGACAGGAGAGAAAAAGTCAAAGAGTGTTAGAGTCAGCAATTGGGTTAGTTGGATTCCCTCTCCCAAAGAAAAATGGCATCAGCAGCCACAGCTGATGGATTCAGCCTGAGTTTGACCAAAATAAGACCAAATTGCCAAAGAAGCTTCCTCCAATCTTTTCCACGGCTAACATCCATTTTAATTTAAGACTCAGATCAGGTGTGCTCTATTCATTCTCTCTCAAACAAATCAGCCAAAAAACTTTGCTCACCGAAGCTGATAACATTTAACTGACCAACAAAATCCAGTGAACAAACAAGAGATTTGCTAAACGGACAGAATTTGAAAGAAATGAGCTCACCTTGCATACAGCCATCATTCATGGAGTTCTGTATATAAGCAGTGTAGCAGCCTTTTAACTCAAATATATTGACCATAACCAGGAAAGGAAGAAAGAAATCAGTGCTCCCCGCTGCATGAATTGCAAGCAGTGAATCTCTGTTAGATATGCCATTGAGGTACATGGATATTCCCAAAGAAAAAGAAAAATACTTGCAAGCAGGAAAAATATTAAAAAACACAATCAAAAGAGATGCAATAGTCACAAATTTAAATAACAAATTAGCGTGCTCATATTGTTCCATGTAACAAAGAGCACTAGCTGCAACATTTTAAATGCTATACATAAGTGAAGGCACATATGTTGCTCAAGGTAACAGAGCAATTTTGCCATTCTGATGGCAATGTTCGACAGGTATCATGAATTGAGCAGCTGATGAGTGCCAATGATGGCAGTGCAATCTAGCTTGCAAAACAATGCATGAACTCTGACAGGTTTTTATTACTCATGTCCAGCCTATCGATAAAGACTTGAAATGGTAGAGTTTTTTTTCCCAAAGGAAAAAATGGGGGGACGAAGAGTCCCCACCTGATATATTAACAGCTGATTCCAGTTAAAACTGGCGGTGGAGGACAATAGCCCGGCAGGGCGGACCCTGAGCGTAGCAATTACAAATCAGTGAAGAAGTAGGAGAGATTGTTACATATGGAACATTGGGCACCACACCGTAGTAGTCTGACAAAGTTGACACAGCACGCGGCAGCTTCATGCCGAGGCAGAGTCCCTGCAGGCAGTTAGCAGCCTCTGAAGGTCATGCTGCTCCCCCTGGAAGACCACACCATTGTGGTGCTTCTAGAGCTCCTAGCAGCAGAGAAGCATGAAGGTCATCACAGTCGCTGGTGCCACTGAGTCCGGGAGCCTGGAGTTCCACTGTTCGCTAATAGGGGCAATGTGATCCGTCGCCACTCCCACGGCTCCAAAAACTGGCCGTGAAGGGACAGCCAGAGACGATATGATCCAGTCTCCTCTCTTTGTCCGCAAAGTTCGCAACACACATCTTCC